GGCGGGAGCGCTGCTGCACTCCCAGTGCCGCACTCTCCCAAGTGCGCCACGGGCTCGGCCCATAAAGCCTGACTTTATATTCCCCCGGAAGTTCATATATTGAAATCCTAACTTCCAATGTGATGGTATTAGGAGTCAGGCCTCTGGGAGTGATTAGGTCATGAGTGTGGAGCCCTTAGGAAGGAATTAGTGCCCTCATAAATCAGGTCCAAGACAGAGTAGGACAGTTGTTGCCAGAGACCGGGGAAGGGAGGGATGGGGGGAGGGAAAACAGAGAGAGACTGATGAATGGGGTACAACATTACAATTAGATAGAAGGGATAAGTTCTGGTGTCCTATCGCACAGTAGGGTGCTATGGTTAACAGTGAAGTTTTAAATATTACATAATAGCTAGGGAAGAGGCTTTTTAATGTTTTCGCCACAAAGAAATGATAAATGCATGAAGTGGTTGATACATTAACTACCCTGACCTAGGGTGCTATGGTTAACAGTGAAGTTTTAAATATTACATAATAGCTAGGGAAGAGGCTTTTGAATGTTTTCGCCACAAAGAAATGATAAATGCATGAAGTGGTTGATACATTAACTACCCTGACATGATTATTACACAACATATATATGTATCAAAACATCAGAGTGCACCCTAAGTGTGTATAATTGCAATGTGTCCATTAAAATTAAATAAAGTTGGGTTTTTTTTAAAAGGCCCAAGAGACTCCCTTCCACCATGAGAGGCTAAAGTGATAAGACGGCTGTCTGTGAGCAAATGGGTCCTCACCAGACACTGAGTCTGCTGGCACCTTGACCTTGGACTTCCTGGCCTCCAGAACTGTGAAGAATAATTTTCTGTTGTTTATGAGACACACAGTTGTTGGCACTTTGTTATAGCAGCCCAAGCAGACTAAGACACAAAGTCAGCCTGAACCGTTAGTTCCCCCATGTGAGAGTCAGACCGTTCTCTGCAGGTGCAGGGCATTTGCTCTGCCCTGGACTGGGCTCTTGCCCAGGCTGGGAGCGGGGAGCAGCAGCGGCGATCCCCCTACCCATGCCCCAGCTCTGGGGTGAGAACAACCCCTTTGCCAGTGAAAGGCTGGATTCCAAGCCTCTCTGTCACCTGGCTTTAAGGCTGGAAGGAAGGAGCAGATGGAGGTGAGGACCCTGGATGTGGAGGTGTTAGGGTCAGCCTGGTCAGAGGACAGAGGGAGCCTCAGAGAACAAAAGGGGCCCCAGCCCCAGGAAAGGGACCGCAGCTGGGGTTAGAGGCTGGGCATATCGCAGACAGGTGCACACAGGTGGCAGCCCAGTCGGCAGCATTCTCTACACAGCCCTGGACAAACACAGAGAAGACCCTGTTCCCAGGACCCTCCCTGGAGGCTCTCCATTTTCCCAACTCAGAGGGCCACCAAGGCAGAGGCAGAATTGTAAGCGTCTCTGTCTGCAGAGCCTGTCCGTGCTACGTCAAGTCACGACAGCCATGGCTCTGGCTTCCACCGCTCCTACATCCCCCACTTCTCCCCCTGCGCCTCCTCCCTGCTCTCACGTTCCTCGGTGTCAACCAGGAAAGGCTAAACCGAGCCAACTGACACCTGTTACCTGCACAGGGTCAACAGCCCCCTCGGCTTCTTATCTCCAGCTCAGTGAGATGGGGAGAGAAGCAAACAGCACCTGACGAGTCTCCCAGGAGGGCAGCAACAGCTCAAGACTGTGGTGGGGACTCGACTGGGAGACAGAGCACCTGGAACCGAGGCGGTTTCTCCAGTCACCCGGATGAGCATGGGGTCGGGGAAGATCACCGCTGGCCAAAGCAATCCAGGGAGGCTTCAGGGAGGAGGTGGCACACACACTGGCTTTGAAGAATGCATATGACTCAGACGCAAAGAGGGCATGGCAGGCAGGGCACACGGCTTGAGCAAAGGAAAGAGGTGTGACAGCAGTAGTGATTAAGTGCATGCGCCTTAGATTTTTACATATCGGAGTTCCCGTACAGCTCTGTGACCTGGGCTAAGTGGCTCAACTGCTTCATGCCTCAGCTTCCCCACATGCAAAAGGAGGAAGCTAATCATATCTACCACGTGGATTACTGTGGGATTAAATGAAATGACTGATAAAGCCCACAGCACACTGTAGCTGCTCAATACGTGAATGAATCCTAGTTTCTTCCCACCCCTCGTTGTTGGGGAAGGAAAGCTCAGGAGAGAGTAAGAAGGAACCTTTTCAATGCTGTTCCCCACACAGATATGTACAATAAATTATGTTTCAATAAACAGAAAGTAAAAAAGAACATTTATTGAAAGACTACATATGTCGGGTCCACAGAAACAATCCTCAAACAACCCATTTTACAGATGAGAACACTGAGGCGCTGCTCTTTTGCTCAAGGTCACCAGCCCAGTAAGTAGGAGCAGAGTTCAGGTTCAGGTCTGGCTGAGTCCAGCTCTGGGGAACTCAGAACAAGTGACTCCAGGGAGATAGGGCTGGGTCCTGGTGGCTTCCAGAGGGGTAGTCCCTGGCAGTCGAGGGCTATGTCTGGGGTTGAAGAGAGAATGAGACCAACCGAGGCCACAGGGACACAGAGGGAGATCACAGCAGCTCTCAAGTCCTGCTCTTGAGAAAAGAAGGAGGCGCCTGGTGGAGGGGACAGCCTGGGCAAAGGAAAGGAGGTGAGAAGTGGCAAGGTGGGCCTCCTACAGCACTGAGGTGCAGCCTGAGGCCCAGAGGAGGGGAGGGCACTTGCCACAGGTCACACAGCTGGCATGAGGCCAGAGAGGGGGCCTGGGTGGGGGCCAGGAGCTGGGCTCTGCCATGGGCTATGCTGGGTGGACCCCACACTCTCTGACCTTTGTTTCTTGGCTGGGCAGTGAGAGGTTGGAAAAGGCTCCTCAATGCCAAGACCATGTGGGCCACAGCCATCTCTGCGACCTCAGTACCCCCAGCTGGGGTGAGGGCCCCACAAGGGACAGAATCAAAGAGTACCCGAGGGAAGCGTCTCTCCTGCCCTGAGCCAGCCTTCCCCGCAGGAGACTCTTTGCTGCCCCCTTGTGGCTCTAAAGGAGCCTAATTTTCCATCCGTTTCCTGAGAAACTGACTTCCCAGGGGCTGGAGGTGCCCAATTCCAGGCCCAGTACCTGCCTCTCCCTGTGACCCACAGGAGTGTCCAGACTAACCTGAGGGGTCCTACCCCCTTCCGCAGTATTCCACCACCACCTACCCCCACACTGAGAGTTGAGATCAAACAATATAGCATGATATTAAAAATTAGAAACACTGCATGTTCTTACTCATATGTGGAAGATACAAAGTTTTATCTCTTTAGAAGTAGAGAGCAGAATAGTGGTTATTAGAGACTGGTAAGGGGAACGGGGAGGAGGGGAGAGGAAGAAGGTGGTCAGTGGGTACAAAACTGTAGCTAGATAGGAAGCACAGGTCTCGTGTCCTATAGCACGGGAGGGAGACTACAGTCAACAGCAAATCACTGTATAACTTCAAGTAGCTAGTTGAGCGGATGTTGAACATTCCCAATGCAAAGATGTGACAAATGTTTAAGGTGATGGATATGCTAATTACCCTGATAGGGTCACTGCACACTATATAAATATAGCCAAATATCACATTGTGCTCCATAAATACATACAATTATCATGGGTCAATTAAGAAAANACAAGGGACAGAATCAAAGAGTACCCGAGGGAAGCGTCTCTCCTGCCCTGAGCCAGCCTTCTCCGCAGGAGACTCGTTGCTGCCCCCTTGTGGCTCTAAAGGAGCCTAATTTTCCATCCGTTTCCTGAGAAACTGACTTCCCAGGGGCCGGAGGTGCCCAATTCCAGGCCCAGTACCTGCCTCTCCCTGTGACCCACAGGAGTGTCCAGACTAACCTGAGGCGTCCTACCCCCTTCTGCAGTATTCCACCACCACCTACCCCCACACTGAGAGTTGAGATCAAGCAATATAGCATGATATTAAAAATTAGAAACACTGCATGTTCTTACTCATATGTGGAAGATA